CTGGTCTCAAATTCCTGAGCTTAAGTGATCTGCCCACCTCACTCTCCCAAAGTGCTGGGATTAAAGGCATGAGCCACCGCGCCCAACCCTGAAAATCACTATTTTTAAACTACCAATATAGTGTAAATTCAGCCAGCAGATCACTTATATACTAAGGGTGAAATAAACCTTTTACAACAGAGAGATTTGACAGCTACAACCTTAACCAAATGACTGAATTTAATATCACCAATATTTTGTATCACCAATACAAACCGATTATCACGCACTGATGTGATGCACTAAAAAAGACGTCATCCAGTCCAGGCACAGTGGCTCACGCTTGTAATCCCAGCACTTTAGGAGGCTGAGGTAGGTGGATCACTTGAGGCTAGGAGTTCCAGACCAGCCTGGCCAACATGGCAAAACCCTGTCTCTAAGAAAAAATACAAAAAAACTAGCCAGGCATGGTGGCGCAGGCCTGTAGTCCCAGTTACTTGGGAGACTGAGGCGGGAAGATCGCTTGAAACTGGGAGGCAGGCAGGCAGGCAGGCAGGCCAGATGGAAGGAAGGGAGGGAGGAAGGGAGGAAGGGAGGAGGGGAGGAAGGGAGGAAAGGAGGAAAGGAGGGACGGAGGGAGGGACGGAGGGAGGGAGGGAGGGAGGGAGGGACGGAGGGAGGAAGGAAGGAAGGAAGTCAGTCAGTCAGTCAGTCAGTCATCCGTGTGGTATTCCTGCCAAAAATGTTTAACTCAAATCTAAGCATGAGGAAACAATCACAGCTAAACTGAGGAATATTAGCTGGCCTGGATTCTTCAAAAATGCCAATCTCGGCCTCTGCCCCCGGGCAGGCCGGGCCTGCAGTGGTGAGGGGAGCCAGGCTGAGGGTGGGAGTGGGTGGCAGGCAGGTGGAGGGCGGGGAGAGGTGGTGGAGGAGGAGGAGGAGAGATGAGGGCAGCGGAGGAGGTGAGGAGCGCCAGGTACCAGGCTAGGGAAGCTGTGGGCTCTCAGGGAAGAGATGGATGATGAACAAGCTTTACACTGGGAACCTGAGCCCCATGGTCACCACCGACGACCTCTGGCAGCTCTTTGGGGACAGGATGCTGGCCCCCATGGGACAGATCCTGCTCAAGTCTGGCTATGCCTTCGTGGACTACCCCGACCAGAACTGGGCCATCCGAGCCATCGAGACCGTCTCGGGTAAAGTGGAATTGCATGGGAAAATCATGGAAGTTGATTACTCAGTCTCTAAAAAGCTAAGGAGCAGGAAAATTCAGATTCGAAACATTCCTCCTCGCCTGCAGTGGGAGGTGTTGGATGGACTTTTGGCTCAATATGGAACAGTGGAGAATGTAGAACAAGTCAACACAGACATAGAAACCGCTGTTGTCAGTGTCACATATGCAACAAGAGAAGAAAATAAACATGGAGAAGCTAAGTGGGCATCAGTTTGAGAACTACTTCTTCAAGATTTCCTACATCCCAGACGAAGAGGTGAGCTCCCCTTCGTCCCCTCAGTGAGCCCAGTGCGGGGACCACTCTTCTCGGGGAGCAGGGCCAGCCCCTGGGGGCACTTCTCAGGCTAGACAGATTGATTTCCTGTTGAGGATCCTGGTCCCCACCCAGTTTGTTGGTGCCATCATCAGGAAGGAGGGCTTGACCATAAAGGACATCACTAAGCAGACCCAGTCCCAGGTAGACATCCATAGAAAAGAGAACTCTGGAGCTGCAGAGAAGCCTGTCACCATCCATGTCACCCCAGGGGGGACTTCTGAAGCATGCCGCATGATTCCTGAAATCACGCAGAAAGAGGCAGATGAGACCAAACTAGCCGAAGAGATTCCTCTGAAAATCTTTGCCCACAATGGCTTGGTTGGAAGACTGACTGGAAAAGAAGGCAGGAATTTGAAGAAAATTGAACATGAAACAGGGATCAAGATAGCAATCTCATCTTTGTAGGATTTGAGCATATACAACCCGGAAAGAACCATCACTGTGAAGGGCACAATTGAGGCCTGTGCCAGTGCTGAGATAGAGATTATGAAGAAGCTGCGTGAGGCCTTTGAAAATGATATGTTGGCTGTTAATATCCACTCTGGATACTTCTCCAGCCTGTATCCCTATCACCAGTTTGGCCCGTTCTTGCATCATCACTGTTATCCAGAGGAGGAGATTGTGAATCTCTTCATCCCAACTCAGGCTGTGGGCGCCATCATCGGGAAGAAGGGGGCACACATCAAACAGCTGGCGAGATTCGCCCCTGCAGAAGGCCCAGACGTCAGCAAAAGGATGGTCATCATCACCCGGCCACAGGAAGCCCAGCTCTAAGCCCAGGGACGGATCTTTGGGAAACTGAAAGAAGAAAACTACTTTAACCCCAAAGAAGTGAAGCTGGAAGCCCATATCAGAGTGCCCTCTTCCACAGCTGGCCGGGTGATTGGCAAAGGTGGCAAGACCATGAATGAACCGCAGAACTTAACCAGTGCAGAAGTCATCATGCCTCGTAACGAAAAGCCAGATGAAAATGCGGAAGTGATCGTCGGAATTATCGGATACTTCTTTGCTAGCCAGACTGCACAGCGCAAGATCAGAGAAACTGTACAACAGGTGAAGCAGCAGGAGCAGAAATACCCTCAGGGAGTCGCCTCACAGCGCAGCAAGTGAGGCTCCCACAGGCACCAGCAAAACAACAGATGGATGGAGCCCTTCCAACACCTGACAGAATGAGACCAAACACAGCCAGCCAGATCGGGAGCAAACCAAAGACCATCTGAGGAATGAGAAGTCTGCGGAGGCGGCCAGGGACTCTGCAGAGGCCCTGAGAATCCCAGGGACCGAGGAGAGGTGGGGAAGGTCAGCCAGGTTTGCCAGAACCACGGGGCCCGCCTCTCGCCCCCCAGGGCTTCTGCAGGCTTCAGCCATCCACTTCACCATCCATTCGGATCTCTTCTTAACTCCCACGACGCTATCCCTTTTAGTTGAACTAACATAGGTGAACGTGTTCAAAGCCAAGCAACATGCACACCCTTTTCTGGTGGCAAATCGTCTCTGTACATGTGTGTACATATTAGAAGGGGAAGATGTTAAGATATGTGGTCTGTGGGTTACACAGGGTGCCTGCAGCGGTAATATATTTTAGAAATAATATATCAAATAACTAACTCCAATTTTTAATCAATCATTACTTTTTTTTTCTTTCTAAGGAGAAAGCAGGCTTTTCTAGACTTTAAAGAATAAAGTCTTTCTTTGGGAGGTCTCACAGTGTGGAGAGGAGCTTTGAGGCCACCCACACAAAATTCACCCAGAGGGAAATCTTGTTGGAAGGACACTCACACCAGTTCTGGATCGCCTGTGTATGTCAACAGAAGGGATACCGTCTCCTTGAAGAGGAAACTCTGTCATTCCTCATGCCTGTCTAGCTCATACACCCATTTCTCTGCTTCACAGGTTTTAAACTGGATTTTTGCATACTGCTATATAATTCTCTGTCTCTCTCTGTTTATCTCTCCCCTCCCTCCCCTCCCCTTCTTCTCCATCTCCATTCTTTTGAATTCCCTCATCCCTCCATCTCAATCCCGTATCTACGCACCCCACCCCCTCCCAGGCAAAGCAGTGCTTCGAATATCACATCACACGAAAGGAACAAAAGCAAAACACACAAACCAGCCTCAACTTACACTTGGTTACTTAAAAGAACAAGAGTCAATGGTACTTTTCCTCGCGTTTTGGAAGAGGAAAACAGGAACCCATCAAACCAACCAATCAACCACACAAAGAAAAAATTCCACAGTGAAATTCAGCAATATTCAGCAAAATGATTTCTTTCTTTAAAAAAAAATGTGGAGGAAAGTAGAAATTTATCAAGGTTGTTGGCCCAGGGCATTAAATTTACAGATTTTTTTAAATGAGAAAAACACACAGAAAAAGCTACCTCAGGTGTTTTTTTACCTCAGCACCTTACTGTTGTGTTTCCCTTAGAGATTTTCTAAAACTGATAGTAGGAGCATTTTAAAAATTTTTTTAATAAAAATGAGTTGGAAAAGAAATAAGATATCAGCTGCCAGCCTGGAGAAGGTGAGAGTTCAAGTATGCAATAGCTGTTCTGAATTGTCTTCCGCTAGCCAAGAACCTATATGGCCTTCTTTTGGACAAACCTTGAAAATGTTTATTTAAAAAAAAAAATGACAAAGAAAAACAGAGAGAGATAGTATTGGAGATGTCCTGAATTTTAATAGGGTACGCGCCATTAGGGCTTTTTGCGCTAAAGGATGAACAGGTACTGGTTTCTGTGAATAAGCCATTATACCACCAGACTGCAATGCCAGTTTCCTCTACTGCAAACAGTATTCTGTGACCAAAAAAAAAAAAAAAAAAAAATA